AAAGAAGATGAAAAGGAAGAAGCGTTACTAGTATTGAGACCATGATATCTAAATACAAGTTACCACACGTCTTTGTAACAGTTGCTTTCGCTCTTTAGGCTCCAAAATGTCACACAGCCGGAGGAAAAAATTCATAGGTGGATTAAGGATTTGGATATGGCAAAGAAAGAAACTTATTTTCCTATCGAAACCAACACAACTAGATAAAAACTCATATTTCGAATCTCAATACACGAGTGACTAGAATGGATCCTGTCACTATCCGAACGTGATCCGTTCGATTATATATATATATATATGTCCGACTATAATCTGAAAATTGCTTTATTTAGCCAACCATTAATCGTCAAGTAACTTCATACCAACAACAAGAACTCAGATCATCAACTTATTCTTCTTCCTCTCAACTGGTTGCAGCTTAGTTAATAAAATCAACCCAACAGTGTCCTCAAACTTGCAGGATCGAAGGTCTGACCGGCGATGATTCCGGCGGCTTTCTCGACGGGATGGACACTGTCCCAAAACACGTACTTGTTGGCATCAGTGCAGGTACCTGGAACAAGACAGAAGATCCCAAGCTCAACGTTTCCAGTCCCACAGCACCCTCTTGTAGCCTCTTCAAATCCTACAATAACGAAAATCGTACAGGCAAAAAAAAAGTTAGCGATAGGATATTTTGTGTTTAATCCGCAAATTTAACTCTACCTCTAACGTTTCTTACTGCTAAAATCGTCTACGCCCGACTCGAACGCAGGTAGATGATATGGTTTATTACCATGTGGAGCTGGGTTTTGTATGAGGGACAGAACAGGGCTGAAGATGTCGAAGTAGACGATCTTCGCTCCTGCTGGAAGCTGTCGATTCAGCGAAGAAACCGCGGGAGAGAGCTTGGAGTTGAAGAGCTTAGCAGCTTCATTCGAATCTTCGGAGCAGTTCCTCTCCAGTAACCCGCCACCGAAAACTACCCTCTGGAGCGGAACGCAGCCTATTGGAACCGCACCCACCACCCCAATTCTCCTTGCGCCGAGCCCGTAGAGTTCCTGTGCGGGGGCATTTCGTCGAACACCTTCAGGGCATGAATTTTTTTTTCCCCCTATCTGATTGAATGGATCATACGAATGAACGAAAGAATCGCCGAACCTTGATCACATCCAGGGCAAATCCGACGAGCATATCAGTGTACGCATTCGAGTCGTATTGAGCTCGCCTGATTCGGATGCCGACGTCGTTGGTCCCTAGCACGATGATGTGTGGACTTGTGGATATGATCTCGTCTGCTCTTTCTTTCCCCGCGCTTCCATTGATCTTGCTCCTGTATTCTCTGTACATCTCCAGCTGATCCTTTATGTTTGTAGCGGTCTGCAAACATTCCGTTAATTCGTAAGCAAATGGTATTAAGATTTATTTTGTTACGATCGACTTGAAACGATTGATTTGCGCGCACACACACGATATACTAGACATGTGCAGACTTTCGAGTAGCATTTTTGTAACGAAATGGTACATTGTTATTTTTTTTATAGCTCGCGAGTTATTGAGATGAGACAAACGAAAGATAGATAAAACGAAATTACAGAGATTATAAGCTTGTTTTTTTTTTTTTTTGTATTACTGTTAGTGTGGAGGTGAGAGGGTCATAACCAGCACCCGCGGAACCGAACGAGACGCCGGTGAGGAGGTCTTGCATTTGCAAGGTTGGATCCTTGTAAGGAGGCAACAAATTCTTGACACCGAAAATTTCACCAGCTGCTGACAGCAGACATTGACGTAGTCAGAAATTTATTAAACATCGTCTCGTATAACGAAATTTTTTTCTTCTTTTTTCTACTAGTAATAATCAAGACTAATTTCAATATGTACAATTTATATCTATTTTTGATACCTATGAAGTCAGGTAAGATCCTTCCGTTGCCGAACCTTCCGGTGGCTGTCCCGCCGGGGAAGTCTCTCCCGTAAGGCGGGAAGTCGCTCTTCGCGACACTGACGATGTAGTTGTTGTTCCCTGTATCGACAAGTGAATCTCCGAAGATGAACACCGCAGGAACGGCGGCGTCCGCTGCCGGAATGTTGATGATCAGTAGAAAGCTAACGGCCGCCACCAGCTGAACGAAAACAGAGTGGGTGCCCCTGTTTTCCGATGATCGGAGGCTGCCCCTGTACCCATGAATTTCCAGCAAATCAGGAGCTGCGGGGGATTTGGGCTTCATAGCCCTGCCGGCGGTGGCCCCCGTGGATTCTTCGCGAGAGAGAATGCTGTAATTAGCCATGAAAGGCGAACAAGGAAAAAGAAGATTGAAGTTAGCAGGGGAAGACAGAGTGCTATGTATGTTCATTTGAATAACCCTGAGGATGGAACTGCTATATACAGGGTAAATTTAGGGTAACTGTGTGTACTCTTGGTAAGAAAATGCTTGCATGGATCTAGAATGAATTGAATTGTTTTGGCACGGTATTGTACCATAATTCTTAATGAGTGTACTTTAGCCAGAAATGCTATTTACAAATTGAACTCGTACCGTGACGTTAAAGCTACAAGTTTAGTTTGTATGATAAAAAAATTTGAATCTTTGTGTTACGCACTTACGCTACAAGTTCAGTTTGTATAAAAAAAAAGTTTACAAACTGAATTTATACCATAATATAAAAGTACAAGTTCAATATAAATCATAAAGAAATTTTATAAAAAAAATATAAGTATAAACTAAACTTCTACTATAGTTTGAGCACTTCTACTATGCTATATAGTATTGGTGCTTTAATGTACAACTTGAAGTTGTACCATAACATTAAATGTATAAGTTTAGGTTGTACCATAAAGGAATTTGTATCGTTATGTTATGATACAACTTTACAACTTGAAGTTGTACCATCACATAAAGGTACAAATTCAAGTTGTACCATAAAAGAATTTATACAAAAAGTATAGGTACAATCTGAAGTTGTACCATAACGTAAATGTACAATTTTAAATTGTACCATAAAAACAAAAACATATATCACCAATACTATATAGCATTTTAAAACTCCTCACTATAGTTTTAAAATTACAAGTTCAGTTGTACTATAAAGATTTTTTTAAAGCAAAGATCCGATATTGTAAAGTTACAATTACTCCAAATATTCACCAAATTACTCCAAATTATTTTTATGTTTTTTACTTCTTACCATGCAGTTACATTCATTTAAATAAAACCATGCAATTAACTCTCAAACAAAATTAATGTTTAACCTAAATCTCTTAATTCCCAATTCAACCCCATTGGTGATTAAGAAATATGCTAATTTATAGATCCTATACTCTAACACACACAAAACCAGAGGCCGCTCCTAACTCGCTAAACTCTATGTACTTTAACAAAATTGAAATGGAATTATAGTTGAAATATTTTTAATTCATGAAGTCAACTACTTTTTTTGAAAAATTATACCGAACAATCTACCTCGACTGTAACGGTATACCAAACTATAGGTGTGTTTCTTTCTACTTCTTTTTTCTGAAAAACTTTATGTTCAATAGCTTAATATTCTCAATAATTTCACTCTAATCAGATTTAGAAAAGAAAATGGAGTAGCAAAACTGACATTTCTCTTCCATTTTGACGAGGTCAGATCGTATGAACAACAGTTCAGCTGTGGGTGACAGATTTTTGGATGTAAATGTTAACAGATATGCATATTTGATAGTTTGCCCTAAAGAACAAGGGCGTATTTGATGTAAGAAAATAGTAGAGAGACATGTTTAATAAAGAACAAGCGCATATTTGATAGTTAACAGAAAGGCATATTTAATAGTTTGACTAAAGAATAAGAGTGTATTTACCTAAAGAACAAGCGCATATTATACCTACAATCCATCTTTATACTATCAAACATTCAAAGCCTTTTTTTTCTTTACGGATTCAAACATTCAACACCGTTGTTTATGTACTAACACCAAGCTAAAATATATTTATATTAAACACCAGAGTTTACATCCTATCACCGAGCAGAAAAACATCCCAAAAAATTGAAATTGGACTATGAATACTAGAGCTAAATAATAATAAAAAAAAGTGGTTCCTAATACACAATTTTTTAATGTAGTACGAATGCATCATCCAAAAACCAAGGTTAATTTTTTAAAACCTTTTTCATTTTTCCTTTTCAGGTCCCTCAGATAATTTTGGCTAGGTCAGATTGTGACCAGTTAGGAGTTATTCCCGTTACTCTCTCATTGTATCATCCAAAAATCAAGGTTCTACGACTAATTTGCAAAGAAAATGATAAACTGATATGTTATGAAATGTTGATTTTGGGAGCCTTTCTATGTCGTTTATTTCCCCTATTTATAACCATCACATGTAATTGTTTTGACGTATAATGTAGCTTGACATCCCTGATTTCTGCGAAGATTACGACCCTTGTAAGTACCATGATCAAGTTGGACCCCCTACAGGGTTGATGGCATGTAGATTTGTTTCCCCGACCAACCATGCTAGACATCTAAGAGCCGAAGGAGCGTCTTGTTTATCGATACTGACCTCCCATTGAATGATATCATGCTTGGAGGTCGACGCGAGAGGGTGCCCATGCTGACCCTTTTGTATGATTGCATGGTGGATATCTCATTTGGACATAGTCGTAGATTCAGTGCAATATGATTAAGAAACAAAAGACTTGCTCACTCCAGGTCTTAAAGAAATTGATAGATAAATAAACAAGACTCACTCATCATCCACCCAACCACAACAACAAGCCAGCTTGACTTGCACAATTTGGACAAACACCCCCATTCTTTTCTTGCAAGTTACCACATGTTATGTCATCAACTGTATTTCCACTCCTTAACCATCATCTCATTCTTCACACTTCACACATTATGTTAACAATTAATAGTTCCTTCCACTCCATAGGTGGATTAATGAAGGGAAAAGAAGCAACTTGTTTGGGTTGGTTCTTTGCTTCTTCTTACCTTTTGGAGCTATATATATATGAATAAAGTAGAAGAATAAACTATGAGCCCTAGACAAGCAAATATATACAAACTGATATAGAAATATTACAGGGAGGCTGAGAATCCAAGCAAATGAGATCAGCTGAAAATGGATTTTGTACTATGCGAGCACTCTAAGAAAACCTCAAGAAGAAACCCCTGTTCCAACAATGGAGAACCAAAAAAAATTATTGGCCAACAACAATCAAACCCTTTTTCCATCTATTACTTCCTTACCAAGAAACTCCTCCCTTTCTTTTCCCATTTTGGTACATATGTTTTTTTCTTTTTCTTTTCAGACACCATGTTTCGGTGTTTACCGTCTAAGGACAAAGAATGGCGAGAGTTAGAAGACTAGCAGTACCTATACACACTGCATATTTCGAGCAGGGGGGAGCGAGAAGGCACACCTTTGGATCCGATCCTGATGAAGAAAGATTATTATGATCATACGAGGCTTGTGAATGAAGATGTCAATACGTAGGGCATGTTGGCTAGAGGGCCGCGTTCTTGAGAGAGCTGGTGGATGTCCTTCACTATGTCGAAGACGGCCTCTGGCTGTGCTAGCTTCATCGCGTTCTCCGACATTCTTTTCAGTCCGTCGGTGTTGGTTGTGAACCATTCGGCCACCATCCTCGCTGTTTCTTTAGGACTTCTGGTGAAGACGCCTGCACCGTTGTCAACTACGTAAGGCACATTGCCCTTCTCCTGTAAGGGAAAGATTAATAGGTCAGAAAAATGCTTAAGGTTCACCATGTGAAAGACAGACAGAGTTACAGAAAAAATGAAACCAAGCCTCTCACTCACTTGTCCAGGAATGTAGTCGTTGAGAATAATAGGAAGCCCTCGAATCAATGCCTCTGCAATCGTCCCGGGTCCAGCCTTGGTGATTATGCAATCACAAGCTCCCATCCATCTTTCCATCTTGGTTTCGAATCCTCTAACCTAAATTTGTAAAGAAAGAAAGAAACCTTCGGTAAATGAATTGTCCTGAGATAAAATGATGTGTAAAAAACGTGTAGGTTGAAGACGTTTTACCTTGACTGGGATGTTCCAATCCGCGGACTGCAATGTAGATCTAAGAACCTCGTTACGCCCACATATGATAACCAATTGTCCAATCGGTTTGCCTAGTTCTTTATCATACAGTGATTCTCCCAAAGCTAGTGCAGTTTTCTTGACAGGTCCCATACCTTCACCACCGCCCATTAGCAAAACGGCTGGAAGATCAGGATCCATTTCAAGCTCTTCCCTTAGTTCCTCCTGAAATCCAAGAAAAAGGCTCCAAACATCAGTAACTTATCCTTCTACCCCTGCAGTAAGCAACCATTGTAAAAGATATATCAAACCTTGGTGAAAACTGCACGGGCAAAAGAAGGCCGGATTGGCAAGCCGAAAACCTGGATTTGAGACTCTTCCAAACCATCCATTGCAGCCCTCTTCGCCAATTCCTTTGATGGACAATAACATCTGTCGACTCCAGGATGAAACCTGGAAATTCGCTACATGTTAGAAGACAATTCACGTAGGCCAAGCATGCATATAACAAATTTGAAGACCCTGATCTCAGCAACTAACCATGTAGGATGGCAACTATTGAGGTCGGTAATAACTGTAACGAAAACCACTTTCTTCTGCAGCCCTTGCCATTTCAGAACCCATAGAGGAATATGTTGCATCATTGGATGGACACTGATGATAATGTTAGGCTTGTACTCCATTAAACCAGCCTCCACCTCCCTTCATTCACCATAACATAAAATAAAATAAAAACCATTAGGAAACCATGTCTACACTAAAATTAAGATTCCACTTCAAGAAAACCAATTATTTAGCTTCAACAATCATCAAAAGCTTCTTACAGAACTGTGGGGTCAAAGAGAATCATATACGGCAAAAGCATGTTATTTCATATCACCCCACTCAAATGATCGCTGGACCACCACCCCTAACACCATATTTTATTGATGTTAACGAGTTGATCTATCATGGTGACCAGCTAAAAGCATCGTTCAAGTCACATGATATGAAATGATATGGGAACTGTAAATCTAAGCTTTTATTTGGTAGAAACTGGAAATCTGAACTAAGAACATAAGATCAGGCCAAAAAAGGGAACATCTCATCATTGACCAGCCTATCTCCAGCGTTAAAACCAAAAAAGAATGGTATTAGGTTAAAGTAGTATTCAAGGTAAGCTGGAAGTACTTGGCATAGTAGGCAGCAATGGCGGCAAGGTAGCTGCTGTGGATCCATTTAGGACATGTGGTGTGAAATGCCACCTTCCATAGCTGCACATGCTTCACCATGAACTTGTACTGCCTCTCCATGTCATTCAATGGCCACCCTGTGTACTCCTTCCATACATCCTTCACAATTATCTGATTCCTCAAACCAAAAAGAGAGCTCCAAATCAGAATTACAGTATACATATACTATCTGCTAGAAACAGGACAAACAAAAAACAGGAGGGAAAATTCATTGAGGAATTGGGTCGAACACCAAGTTTGCAAAAAGAGGAAACACAACAGAATTGGCCAAAACCTAACAACGACGGAGAAGAAGAAGAGGAAGAAAGAGAGAAAATTTTCCGAAATTCAAAATTCAAAATCACGGAAACCAAAATCTAATCAGAGATTGAAAGTTGAAACCAAGCAATTGCTATGAAGAACTCAGGCGAAAATTCGACGGGCTGTAATTGAAGTTTACCCGGTAGTCGTCGCCGTACTCGATCTTAAAGGCGTCGCGGATGGCCTCGGCGGAAGCCCGGTGGCCGCCGCCGGTGTCGCTCATGAGAATCAACACCGTCTTCGTCCGCTCCGCCCCAATCTGAGCCAGCTCCATCGTCCCTTCTCCCTCCTCGAAATCATTGTCCATCTCGTCAAGGAAATACTTCGGCTGGTGCCGGTTCCTGCCCCGGTTATGGTCGCTCCCGGAACCGAAATTCCCGTACACGCGCTGCATCACCTCCGCTATCGACGCCTTCCGCGGCGTAGCAACTTTCATCACCATTCTTTCCCCCTCCTCCCAACCTCCAATCAAGCCAACCACCGGTCAAATTAACGGATCCGCCGCTCAAAAGACTTTCCCCGCTCCCGCCGCCGGGAAGAGGAGAATTCGACTCAGCCGGCGGGATGTGGAATTAGGGGAGAAATTAGACGGAGGAAAGGAAGGGAGAAATTGGAAGCTGTTGGTCGTTTGTTGGGGAGAGAGTCTCTGCAATGGCGGAGGAGGAAAGGAGGGGAAAGGGACGGCTAAATTTAGTGTGTGAGGGAGACGGCATATAATTTCCCGGTGGAAGGAATTATGCCATTAGGGGAAACGATTATTTTTGAATTGTTGGTGACCGTCGGATTCGCATTTTGTTTCGGAATGTTCTATGGCGAGATTCGAATCTTCTCTCGGGTGTCTATCTGTAATATATTTTTTTTCCCCCTTGTTCTGGGGGGTAAACTTCTTTCACATCACCAAATTTTACTAGGCGATTCAATTCGGTCACAGTTTAATTCCTTTTTAACGATCAGAGTCCCCCTTCTATACAAAAGTTACGAATCTCTTATCTGCGTGATGTGTCCATCTTCTTCTTTCAGAAAACACGTTCGTATTCTTTTGCTTGTGTTCAAAACGAAGTATCGTTCTTCTCCGTACAAACGGTATTTTTCCTGACGAAATTGGTAGATCAAGTTTCCAAAAGAATCATTAATGGAGAGGAGAAGAGAAAGATGAGTAGAGTTGTTCTTTAACTTACGGAGACAACCACATTTTTTGTTTTGGATTTTACTGGATAAGTCGGTGTCCCGTGATTTTGGCGATGGGTTGATCAGCTGTGCCCTCACAATTTCGATGCGGCGATTATGTCGTTTCCCTCTACGTGGGCCACTCTCGGTTCGTTCTGATTTTTGTATATCGAGTTCATTGCCCTATCAGCCGACACTTCATCCATTACTCTCAATTTTTCGGTGTATAGTGGCGAATAATGGGAACATGAAGAGCTATGATGGTAAAATTACCATGTATTGTGGGGTCTAATTGATCGACAAGTGGAAGTGGAGTATGAAGCAAGTGGGAAGAAGGTGGTCCCCCCTTTTCTTTTGCACAGCTGGCAATGGGGCCATGTCAGCCTGTGCTGACGCCACAATCAACATAAAAAAGGAAGTTCTTTATTGGGCAAGGTGGAGCCCACAGCAAAACTTGCGGTTGCGCACAGCTCGTTTCTGATTCGTTTTCCGACCTGTCATTTTTGTTTGTAAATGTGACAGCAAAATTAGCATTTACGTATCTGTATTTTTAAGGAGTATACAGTAAGGTCCCTCAACTTTGTGGGAAGTCTGGAATTCTCTCTCTTGGGCCAGTTTGAAACGGTTGGGCTGGGCTTGTTTTGGATCAATTTGGAAGGTTAACGGCCCATTGGGTCAAGTCTTACCCAAAAGAAAAATTTATAAAAAAACGACCACAGTGGGAGTCGAACCCACGACCTTCTGATCCGAAGTCAGACGCGCTAATCCACTGCGCTATGCGGTCTTATATGTTCACTTCGAATAAAAAACTTACTACTACATTTTTAGTTTAACAAATTACCAAGCACTACCCAATCTTTACCAGATTGCCATGCCGACCCCAATTCTTAAAACTTCGTCTCTTCCAAACACGTCCTCGCCACTCCCCCTTTCTCACTTTCCCCGACTATCTCCATCTCTTCATCAAATCCCCACACAAAATCTAGGGTTTCTGCGTAATTCTGCAATTCTCCCACCGCCGTCCCGGCTCCGGTAAGCTCCCCCTCCGCTCCTTCTCTCTGGAACTCGCCGCTGGTATCAATTCTCCCATGTTCCTCTTGTTATCAACTCCGCGCGTCTCCAATTTCACACTGTTTTCCCTTACTTCACCAGCTGTGAATTTTAGAGTCCCTTTTTCTCTTTCCGTCTTCATCACCCGTCTTGTTAATTGAGGTGATTGACTTTACGAATCATTCAGCTTTTTGCTTCAGTTTTGACCAGCTGGTAAATTGCATTGACCCCGTTTTGATTAAGGTGTCCCTATCTTTGTCCCTTGTGAAACTGACGGAGATAAAGAGTAAATTTTGACTCTTTTTGCACTTTTGGGGTCTGAACTGTTTCTTCTTCTTCTTCTTCTTCTTTCAGGTGAGTGTGATTTGTGATGCCGAGGGCAAAGCTTATACTCATATGCCAGTGTGGCGGGGAATTCACGAAACATGATGATGGCACCATGTCATACAGCGGTGGAGATGCCCACGCTGTGGAGATCAACAGAGACACTAACTTTGATGATCTCAAGCTGAGGGTTGCAGAAACCTGTAACTTAGAGCTTCAATCTGTCGGTATGAAGTATTTCATCCCGGGGATGACCAGGACCCTGATCACATTGTCCAATGATAAGGATTTCAATACCATGTATGATTTCTATGGCGAATCGATCACCGCGGACATCTATGTCACGGGTACTCTAGGTTTCGTTCAGTCAACTACGACGCCATCCCCTAAGAAGCTTCCTGCGCCCGCCTCTTTGTAAGCTTTCGTTTCGTTCCTTTAGTGAATTGTTCATTCTTGTGGTATGCTAAGTTGGTTTTACTGGTTTGCAGTGGACTTATGGTTAAATCACCGCCTGCAACAACTGGGAGGCGTAAGAGGGCAGCATCTAAACCTAAATCAAAAGCAAAATCAAGATCAAAATCAGCTGCTGCTGATAGTCCGAGTGCTAGTAGCTACACTACATCACCTAGCAGTGATTCTGATGATTCTTCTTCTTCAGATCATCCTTCACCCGACACTGAATCAGCTGGAATGGAAACACCACAGAGTCCTTCCAGTAAAGTTGTTGATGTCCCAATTTCATTTGATCTAGCTGCTACCCCTGCTGATACGGTGAAGAAGAGAAGGCGCACTGCTTCATGGAAAATTGGTGCTAATGGTCGAATGACAATTGGTTCTTCTGCTAACGAGGGGGATACGAGTATGACTGCATCGTGTATTAAGACCATTAGGAATCTGGATCCTTCAGTTGGCGGGAGTGGTACTGAATTGATGGTTATAGATGAACATACGAGAGACGGTTCATTGGACCAGTTGGTGGCCACTTGGAGAGATGGAATAACTGGTGTAGGTCAGGAATTCGAGAGTGTGGTCAAGTTCCGTGATGTCCTACAGAAGTACGCCATTGCACATCGTTTCGGATATAAGCTAAAGAAGAACGACTCAAATCGAGTCAGTGCAGTTTGTGCTGCCAGAGCTTGTTACTGGAAGATTCATGCCTCGTGGGTCCCTAATGATGGAGTTTTACGTATCAAGAAAATGGATGAACCACACACATGTGGGGAGGACTCTTGGAAGTCGGTTCATGCATCAAAAAATTGGCTGGTGAATGTTATCAAGGAGAGACTCAGAGAGAGCCCACATCACAAACCGAAAGAAATCTCTAATGGAATATTTAGAGACTTTGGGATTGAGCCGAACTATGCTCAAGTTCGACGTGCAATCGAACATGCTCGTGTGGAAATGTTGGGTTCATACACAGAGGCATATAAGAAGCTCCCCTGGTATTGTGAGAGACTACAGGAAGCAAATCCCGGTAGCTCCACAAACCTTGTCGTTGATAATGAGAGCAATAAATTCCAACGCCTTTTCATATCCTATCGTGCATTGGTAGAAGGTTTCCAGAATGGTTGTCGCCCAGTTCTTTACCTCGACTCGACCCCTTTGAGATCGAAGCACCATGAAATTTTGTTGACAGCTAGTGCATTAGATGGAGATGATGGAATCTTTCCTGTTTCATACGCGATCGTAGATATAGAGAATAAAGACAGCTGGCAATGGTTTTTGGATCAGTTGAGGTCTGCGATTTCGAGTTCAGAGCCGATAACTTTTGTCTCTGACAAGGAGAAGGAGCTGAGAGAGTCGGTGCTCGAAGTATTTACTGGTTCTTACCATCGTTATTCACTATATCACTTGCTGGAAGAGTTCAAGAGAAATCTCAAGGGCCCATTTCATGGAGACGGCAGACCATCTCTGCCTGTAAACATGTTAGCTGCTGCATGCACTCGCCGGCTTGAAACCTTCAACATGCTCCTGGAACGTATCAAAGATGTCTCTGTAAAAGCTCATGAGTGGCTTGTCCAGATTGACCCTGAAAATTGGGCGAGTTCGCATTTTAAAGGTGAGCAGTACACTCCGGAGAAACCGGACACATTCAACACTGCAGAGTTCTACTCAAAGTGGATCGACGAAGTGTGGGAGATGCCGATTACAATGAAGCTAGAAGCGATAAGAGGGAAGATAATGGAGTTGATGCAGAGTCGTAAAACCGAATCAGACGGCTGGACGACTACTATGAGAATAACTCCTTCCAAGGAGAAGAAGCTTCAGGAGGAAGGGACGAGAGCTCGATCTTACAAGGTGCTATTCTCGAATGGAATCCTGTTCGAGGTTCATGACCGTTTGATCAATGTCGTGGATACGCACTCAAGGAAGTGCACATGTATGGAGTGGGTCGTGAATGAGTTTCCATGCTGCCATGCGATTGCTGTCTCTATTCGAACTGGACATGTGGCGTATGATTATTGCTCGCAGTACTTCTCAGTCGAGAGGTATCGTGCGACTTACTCTGGGTCAATAAATCCTGTTACGGACCCTTACAGTCCTCCGGAGGAAGAAGACGATGAGGAGACTACTGAGTCTACTGCGGTTGTGCTTCCTCCTACAACGCCAAGGCCTCCACCTTTGCCTAAGGAGAGGTATTACAAAAGGAGAGGGGAACTGAAGAGGATAATCCTGTGTACAAGGTGCAAAGGAGAAGGGCATAATAAGGCTACTTGTAAGGAGCCTCCTGAGGAGGAGGAAGTGAAGGTGCTTGATGCAGCCGAGCAGCCAGAAGAACTACACCAGCTGGAAGGACCTGACCAGGGAGAAGAACCTACGGAGAAAGGTGAACAGAAGAAAACTTTGTGCACTAGTTGCAACGGAGAGGGACACAATAAAGCCACCTGCAAGGAGCATTTGTTACTAATTGAGGACGCGAACGAAGTCGAATCATAGAAGATAATAATTTCATGCCTGGGGTTACCCTTGTATCATTGCTCTGTACAGTTTTCATGTTCTGAATCAGAATTCGGTAACTGTTGAGTAGTAGTTTCAATTGCTTGACTGAGGAATGCGCAGCTTATCTGTTGTTCGATTGACTTGCTGTGATGGCAGTTGCAGGATTGTGGGCTAGCTTTAAAGTAATGAAAGAATTGAATATGTTTCATTGCGTTTCACTCAATTGGATTGCTGCTTAAAGAGAGGCCTACAGCCCCGATTGTCGCTCTGCTGCGTCTGGTATCCCTATATAAATTGGGTGTGAGTGACTCTGAAAATCTGATGTGAAGGCCCAAAATATTTATGTACTACACGATAAATTTGGTGCAAAACATTGATTCTAGGAACTGTAACTCCTTAAGACCAAAACTATAGAGATACGAAGGGATAAATGTTCGTAGTGGCAAATGATTCCAATGTACTTGTGTTACAGGGATTTGGGTTAATGGAACTGGATCCAAACCAAATGGAAGCAATTGCTACTCCTTTAATTCTAGTACTCAACAGAGACTCTTTCCTGCAACTAAACATAACAAGGAAGCCATTGCAGCACCTTTAATCCTAACACAGTAGGGGTCAAACAAATTACAAGGTACATTGTGCCCAGCTAAACCGAAAGCCGGTCAGACTGTCACCATAGACACTCTTACAAGTTACAACAACCAAACGCCACCTATGTCTCTCTAGTCATCCATCTAAAACTATGTGTTGTGCAACCCTAAATAACCTTAGTTTCCTTCGTAGCTCTATCTACAGAGGTTACATATCGCGCGATCACTTCAGTTGAGAGATGTAATCTACACGCAACACAGTGGGCATCGAGGGTCACATGTGTGCTCGAGGCTCGTCTTCCCCTCCAAACATTCTGCGTGATACATATGGCCGCAAACCAGAACAGCGACAACAGCAAATTCACCGGAGGATGATGGCGAGTCACCGAGGGAGCAAGGCTTTCGCCTCAACAGCTTCTGGCAGATCCCGCATACCACCTTTATCGAGTCTGAGGAGGATACAGCGTCAGTTACTAATGAGCTGAACCTGATCCTTTCGGGTCTGGTGAAATCGACATTTTCCCTGTGATCTGTGAGTGAGGAAATGTGTATTAGGGAGTCGAATGTGGAGAAACTACAAGCAGCTGATACTGCCTAAATGTCCAAGCAGCAATATGGTAACTGAAAACCGAACCAATTAACTACCCTATCGTTATTGTAGCATGCACAATAAGGCAATAGTAAACTCGATCGTAAGGTTAACTTCACCTCCCTGATGCCTGAACTCTAGACCTGCTTCGTGTTGACTGCCAAACTTGAAGGGGCGTCTCTCATCGTGTAAAAGGTGGTGATTCCTCCCATGAGAAGTCGAGGATGAACCAGCGTGGCTTCCAGAGTTCCTACGAGAGTAATGATGGCCATAATGATGACGTGATCGTTTCAGAAATATTGATCGACCAAGGTTGTGGTGCTGATGTGAGAGAGACGAGTGCAAATTCAGCAGTCTGGTGGCATTGTCTTGAGCTTGCACCCCTTGCGAAAGAGGATTCAGTTCAGCAGAATCGAGCCGGGAACTTCTCTGCAAAGGTAAAGGATGGCATAATGTGCTTAATCACAATGTTTAAGATAAATTATCCCAAACGAACCATTAACTGAAATGAAACCAGAAAGACTAACCCCGTGGGATAGTGATCCTCTTCCACAAGAGAAAGGCATCTCACCTGCATAATGAATCAACAAATTCCCTCCAATTTAGAATTAACACGAACCATAAACAGTGTTCTTTTCTTCTCATAGCGGTTCTTTTTTACGAGACACGTAGGTTCCTTTATCTAAACTACAACAGGAACTCACTGAATAGTCACAATCGTATTCAAATGCATAATCAGAGCAATACAGATGCTAAACTAACAAAGACAACGATGGAGGCTAGCAATCATACAGCAAGAGATTGCCAAGACTTGAAATGTGTCTCAGTTTGTAAGGTAGTTTCACGCATACATCCACGCAAACCAAAATCTGAGATTTCATGGTATTCCGAAAATGAAGCTAGTAGTTCATCAAAAAGAAAATTAAGCTAGTAACATCAGGTGTTTAATGAAAATGACAATGGTGGCAGTTCTAAGAGATGCTATAGACAAACTACAAGCACAACAGATCGATATGGCTATAACATCCAATCACAAAGTCCATTCAGTCTGATTCAAATCGCGATCATTCGATGTAAGATCCACAATGAACAATAGGATCCAGAAGCGGCCATCTCCAGCTTCTTGCATGAAAAAGGCAATTATTTTGGAATGCCAAAAAGATCATTACAGCATTATCAATTCCAAGCAACATCAGATCAGGATCTCCATTTCCCCATTTTCGATTTGGTAAAATGACAACCCACAGCTCTCAATCAAAGTCGAAAAACAAAGCAGGAAACAATCAAACCAAAAGCAAGACCTAACCTTTTTCCTATTAGGCATTCTAAATGAAAAGATACCAAAATTTAACCCAAGGAAACCGCATCTCACAAGAGTTCCCACTAGATATCAGCAAAATTCAACAAACCCACCTCAATCGATTCTCAAAGATTCAAGCAATCTAGCCAAGTCAAAAACACAACCCATCAATCAATTTCAATAGCTTCCCCAAATTCCCCATCCAAGCACCAAACTTTCCACATAATCAAACGAGCCCACAAGACCAAAAATCTACCAACATAAACAAAAGGATCGTACCAGAGGGAGAAGGGGAAGAAGAAGAAGGATCGATCGGCGGATTTTGATGATGGGGAGTCGAACCACTTCGCCTCCTCTTACCCATAACGAAAACAAGGGGCGAAAAAAAGGGGGAAGGAGAGAGAACCAGCAGCACCCTTCAATGGCGGAAATGGCTGAGAATCGTAGGGTTTTAGGGAAGGTAGGAAAAAAAGATTGTGGATTCGCGGAGTTAGAGGAACCAGAGGAGCATTTCGCTCCCAAAAAAAAGCTCTTCCCTTTTTCCTTTTTGGATGTCAGATTTCACACACAGATACTGCTAGTACTGCTAAGCTACCGACGAGTCCACGAAAGAGACGACGGGGAAATGAGAGCGGAAAGGAAAGGAATCAAATGAATGATTAAAAGGGTTAACTCCGTTCATCATCTGTTTCCTCAAACGCGGCGACACGTGCACTGTTCGTACTTCGCATCATATCATATCACTATGTTCATTCAATCGTGTCCCAACTTCTCGCGGGAAAATGGCGGACAAAACCCCCCGCCTTCTTCCTCCTTTCTCCTCTGCTCTTCGCCATCTCTTCTCCTCTGTCTCGGTGCCAAGTGGACAACCTCTTTGCCGTACAGACTTCCTACAAGTAGCGTGTGACCGTAATAGCTGGCCAGAGTATTTTTGATATTTTCACAGCAGAGCTTTTTAGACTTCAATGGCTTCTTTTCTATGCTGCTGAAGGGTTATTTCCATGTTGAATGCACTTGACTGCTCCCTTAACTACCCATGGAAGGAGTTCTTATCTACGACAACAGCATCCTCAAAACGATAAATGGCAGCTTCACTCTCTCGAGCAAGCATCAAAACATCTAATTTCATAGTTAAAGTACGAGACAATTGACCGATTAGTATTACTCTTAGTCTCTAATTGATCCATAACTAATATAAAATTATCATGCATCTATTCCACATTCGACTCATGATCGAATCATACCCTCTTATCATCATCACATACGAAAATGAGCAAGTCCTACGTCAACCACATCCAAACACAAAGTATGGTATACTTTGATTTGATCGAAGATGGAAGTTCGACATTACTGAGATCGAACAAGCCAAAAACAAAACTATATAAGCAAATTTGGTAAAACTGAGATGTGTAGTAATGAACTTGCTGACACTATGAGTGAAAGTTGTGTCAACATTGTTAATATGTTGTCTAGTTAAGGCATCATTTTCTTGTTTATTTAAAACAAGCCTTAAAAATTGGTGTGAGATCAACTCTCAGGCTATCATTGAAATGCACGTTTTAGTGGTTGATCATGAAAGCATCTTAACGCCTAAATCGAAGAAGAAGAAAAAGGAAAGGAAAACAGACGATCAAGGGATCAAATTTTGCCCATATTCCCAGGCTGTAATGGTTAGCAAGTCATGTACATGTGTGCTCCCATTTCAACATCATGCATCATCCCACTTGCTCCAACCACCTAAAGAGTCTCCCAAGTGGTTGTAAAGATAACAAGATTGATACAATGGTGTTACTCTCGAGTTTAGTTCTCTTTATAATACTGTTTGGTGGTTGTCCGGACAATTTGCATGTCATTAACTCGCAATATGTCTACTCCCTAGTTCGGGTAAGTCATAACTCAGCCTCATGTACATTTGTGCTTACATTCCAACATCATGCATATCACTTGCTCCAACCGCCTACAAACATCCGATCCCCCGAGTGGTAATAAGCTAACAAAGATTGATACTGACGAGACTGTTTCTACCTCATTACTCTCGAGTTTAGTTCTCTAAGAATATCGTTTGGTGGTTTTCATGGCGATATGTATGTCCTCATACTTGATTAAGATGTGCAGCTCAACTAACTATATAAATAATGGTGAGAAGTTAATCAACAAGAGCACCAGTGGTCTAGTGGTAGAATAGTACCCTGCCACGGTACAGACCCGGGTTCGATTCCCGGCTGGTGCAGTTTGAGAGCTGTGATGACTTCTTGCCTCTGCGAAGTGGTCCTTCGCAATCTTCCTGATCTCTGATGGGAACTAAGGCATTACTGAGCTCTTGGATTTTTCAGTTTTAGTTTTTGCTCCCTTAGATTACCTATACACATCAGATTTTGGATAAAAGGTTTTAATACATTAATCTCCAATTAGTAGACTTTATCTAGAAAGAGTAGTTGCACTTGAATAACAAATTGTATTGGTGAATGTACTTTAGCAATAGCATGACACAAACTTACATCCCTTGATCAGTTTCTGTTGCCCATAATCCGTTTAAATTAAAAGAGTTGAAAAGTTTCAGGTTGTTCATTATAATCCGTATGATTTATTGAGCTTCTCGTCTCTCATACATTTTTTTTTTTTTTTTTGCATAAAAGATGATACAACAACATCTGAGTGAGGTAGTGGCGACGAGAAAGGCTTTGTATGATGGTGTGTTTGACCTGTTTTAGGTGGAGTTGCTTTCCTTACGCGATGCCATGAGGTGGTGCTTGGACAGGGGACTGCGGTTTATGGTGTCTGCTTCCGATGCAAAGGTCGTGGTTGATAGACTCTGGGAGGATCAGTGGAACCATGTTCGTGGTGGCGCAGTCCTTGGCGATATTTTGGCCTTGAGGGAGAACTTTGAGCGAATGGATGTTAGATTTATTGGTCACCAGTTAAACAAGGTTGTCCATTTTGTGACGCATAAAACCCTTTCATTGTTCCTTTCTTTAGTTGGGTTCGACATTGCTTCTTGGTTGTTTTTCGGCCACTTGACTTTTGTGTATCTTGTTGTTTATTCGGTAATACGGATGCCCTTTTGCCAACAACAAAAAAAAAACACGTGTGATATCTCTAAGCGACACAACACTGGAATGAATGCCAATTAAAAACATGTTACAAGGGATATGAATCTCCCTCTATGAACTCTATATAGCAATGACTGCGAAATCGTATCAGAATTTGTACCAGAAAAGCCAACAATAAAATACTTGTATGTTGAAAATCGTGATTCAAACGTTTCATACTACTAAACACCATCACTTGTTTAGATGGATTAGTCTTCTAAGTATCCAACAAATATGGAGTAATCCCAATCTCTATTAATCACAAGATTAGAAGGTAGAATTACGATTTTACTAAAAATCTTCACCAACCCTCTTACTCTCACCAAGGGGCAACAAGCCACAAATGCACAAATGACAAAACAAAAAAACAAACCCCCCACGTCATCATTTTCTTAAAATACGTGAGGAGTCTTATCCAGAAATTATAAAACCCTCCAGCTTCTCCTTCCTTCCCCCCAAAAATCAAAAACCAAAATTCCGAATATAAAAACCCTCCCTTCTTTCTCACTCTCATCCTCCTCCGCCTTCATTCCACTCCGCCGCTGCGCTTCCCTCTCCCTAGCATTCATTTCCCACTTTCCCGGCCATGGGTTCGGCACTTCTCCCAGATCTCGGCACCGAGATTTTCATCCCGGTGTGCGCCGTCATCGGCATCGCATTCGCCCTCTTCCAGTGGGTGCTCGTCTCCCAAGTCAAGCTCTCCCCTGTTTCTCCTTCCTCCGGCAGCAGGGACTCCCCCAACAAGAACGGATACAACGACTATTTGATCGAGGAGGAGGAAGGTCTGAACGACCACAACGTCGTTCTCAAGTGCGCCGAGATTCAGAACGCCATTTCCGAAGGTAAAAAAAAAATGAGTCGAGTTTCCCCCCCACCCAAATTGAAAATGTTGTTTCGTTACACCCCACCTCTCCGAGCTTAGATCTGGGCATTTGTTATTTTTAGAAGTTACTTCCCGGGGAAATGGGGGGGAAATGGATTAAGTTCTGCCGTTAATTTTTACCGGATTCCTAATTGGGTACGACTTACATCTGTAGCCTGGGGACTGGGGTTGATTCTGTTCTTTCTTGGACGTTTGATATAAAGATCTGCCCTTGTTCCCCATCATTTTGCTACAAGGACTCGTCAATAGAAGCATCGACCAGGTCCTGTTGGAAATTCTGTGTGGTTGCTTAGAAAGGGGTCAGTTTAGCAGTAAATGGAGAGTGAAATCATGTAATGTGATTGATGATTAGGGTAATAGTTGAAGGTCTTTTCGCTTGGTAGAATTATTTTTTGGCCAAATTCAGTAGTAGTTGATGATGAGGAAGCAGAAAAGGACTATGCTTTATGATTTATGAGCTCCTAGCTACTCATTAGGCTGCTGGTTGAACCTATATATGATATATATTCGTGGCTAACGTGGGGGATATGGATGATTTGGCATTGCAGGCGCGACATCTTTCCTCTTCACGGAGTACAAGTATGTTGGGATCTTCATGGTTGGATTCGCAGCTTTGATCTTCGTGTTCCTTGGCTCGGTCGAGGGGTTCAGCACGAAGCCACAGCCTTGCAGCTATGACTCTCAGAGAACTTGCAAGCCTGCCCTGGCTACTGCTGCTTTCAGCACCATATCTTTCCTGCTCGGTGCGGTCACTTCAGTGGTTTCTGGGTTTCTTGGCATGAAGATTGCTACCTACGCGAATGCCAGGACGACTCTCGAGGCGAGGAAAGGTGTTGGCAAGGCGTTCATTGTGGCTTTCAGGTCTGGTGCGGTCATGGGGTTCCTTCTCGCTGCTAATGGCCTTGTGGTGCTATTCATTACCATCAATGTGTTCAAGATCTACTATGGTGAGGACTGGGGTGGCCTTTTTGAGTCGATTACTGGTTATGGTCTCGGTGGTTCTTCCATGGCCTTGTTCGGGAGAGTTGGTGGAGGGATTTACACCAAGGCTGCTGATGTTGGTGCTGATCTCGTCGGGAAAGTTGAGAGGAACATCCCCGAGGATGATCCTAGAAACCCCGCTGTAAGAATTTACCCGCGGTGAATGAGTTCTTGGTTGATGTCCTGATACACCCTTCTCTAACTTGTTTACTGATACTGGATTGTTGTGATCTTTTTTCAGGTGATTGCTGACAATGTGGGTGATAATGTTGGTGATATTGCCGGTATGGGATCTGATCTTTTCGGATCGTATGCCGAGGCATCCTGTGCTGCCCTTGTTGTAGCATCCATTTCTTCCTTCGGTATCGACCACGACTTCACCGGGATGCTGTATCCTCTGCTGATCAGCTCAATGGGTATCGTGGTTTGTCTGATCACCACTCTCTTTGCAACTGATTTCTTCGAGATCAAGGAGGTCACAGAAATCGAACCCGCATTGAAGAAGCAGCTCATCATTTCCACCGTGCTGATGACTGTTGGAATTGCCATCATTACCTTCATCAGTGTTCCAGCTACCTTCACCATCTTCAACTTTGGAACCCAGAAAGTCGTCCATAACTGGTTGGCACTCAGAGCTATATTTTCGTTTGTGTGCATTGTTTTCCTCCCCGTTGTTGTGCTTTACTTATGTTTTGAGTGTCCTTGATCAGGCAATTATTCTTGTGCGTTTCTGTTGGTCTATGGGCCGGCCTTATCATTGGATTTGTGACCGAGTACTACACAAGCAATGCTTACAGGTAAAAGAAAGGTCCGAACTTTGACATTTCCCCATCTTCAAAAACTGTTGATTTCAACACTTCTAAACTCTGCCCTGAGTTTTTCCAGCCCGGTTCAAGACGTTGCTGACTCCTGCCGTACTGGAGCTGCCACTAATGTCATCTTCGGGCTCGCATTGGGATACAAATCCGTCATCATCCCTATCTTCGCCATTGCAGTCAGTATCTACGTCAGCTTCAGCTTCGCCGCGATGTATGGGGTTGCAGTAGCTGCCCTCGGAATGCTCAGCACCATCGCCACCGGTCTGGCAATCGACGCTTATGGTCCCATCAGTGACAACGCTGGAGGAATTGCAGAGATGGCAGGAATGAGCCACAGAGTCAGGGAGAGAACTGACGCCCTTGATGCTGCAGGCAACACCACCGCCGCCATTGGCAAGGTTTCCAACTTTTCACTCAGCCAATTCCACTTCCCTAGTTTAGTACAATGAACTCGAATCTTTCTGTCGTTGCCAGGGTTTCGCCATTGGTTCAGCCGCACTCGTCTCCTTGGCCCTCTTTGGCGCCTTTGTCAGCCGAGCATCCATCTCGAAAGTCGACGTTCTGACCCCCAAGGTGTTCATCGGCTTGATCGTCGGAGCGATGCTTCCGTACTGGTTCTCCGCCATGACGATGAAATCCGTGGGGAGTGCTGCCCTGAAGATGGTTGAGGAAGTCCGCCGTCAGTTCAACACCATCCCTGGGCTGATGGAAGGCACAGCCAAGCCCGATTAGGCCACCTGCGTCAAGATCTCCACCGACGCCTCCATCAAGGAAATGATCCCACCCGGCGCCCTCGTCATGCTCACACCGCTCATCGTCGGTATCTTCTTCGGCGTCGAGACTCTCTCCGGTGTCCTCGCCGGTTCTCTCGTGTCTGGTGTCCAGGTAAAACGTATTTCGTGTTTCGCACGTCAACTCGGGTTTGTAGCCTAGAAGGGTATTATTAATGAAACGTTTTCCGTGTTGCAGATTGCCATTTCTGCTTCGAACACTGGTGGAGCGTGGGACAATGCTAAGAAGTACATCGAGGCGGGCGCTTCGGAGCACGCCAGGACCCTCGGTCCGAAAGGTTCCGACCCTCACAAGGCCGCGGTCATCGGTGACACCATCGGAGACCCGTTGAAGGACACTTCGGGGCCGTCGCTCAACATTCTGATCAAGCTCATGGCTGTGGAGTCTCTGGTGTTCGCGCCGTTCTTCGCCACCCACGGTGGCTTGCTGTTCAAGCTATAAACAAACAATCAATGGGGAGATTGGAAGAGAGGGGAAGGGGCAAAGGACTGATGTTCTGCCCCAAAGAGAGATTCTTCTCATATAAACATTATAGCAAGTTGCTAGTTTTTTGAGTCGTTGAAATCGTTTCTTTCCTACCTTTTAGGTGGGGGAGGAAATTTTCCGCTAGGGTTGATGATGAAGAAAAGGGAACTCTGTGGGTTACTTGAGGAACAATTTACCGAGAGGATTGTTGTTTTGTTGTTGTAGGGTTCAGTGTCAGTTTGTAGGGAAATCATTTTGTACCCCTTTTAACTAGTTTAAGCCTTTAATGACGGTTTTGGTATTAATATTTGTGAAACGGTATCGGTTTGATCTAATTATAATTTTATTTATTTATTTATGAAACGCTAAATTCATAAGTAATTTTGGCGGTATGAAATAGTTAAACTGCATTTAAATTACCATTTCAATATTGTTGATTTTTTCATTAAAAAACTCTAATACATTCTCACAATTCTTGATTTTTTTACTCTTCTTTCTTGCCTCGTATATGTATAACTTTCACGTGAAAATTTTACTACCCTTAAAGAAATGCCGCACCTAGACCGAGCGCCACTTCTTCCTCGTTACCGCCATCTTTCTAGAGGTCGTTGCCTTTTCACGTACGGGTAGTGCAGCTGTAATTTGCTATGCCTTCCAAATTTGTTTCAACAACCCTTGGATACCTATAAACTCGTGGGGTACCCAGTTAGTTGGGTTGGGCTTGCGATTTCTGAACTTGCTCCGTATTTTTGCCTGGTTTTTCCATGGATATATCATTTAGCAAACCCCAACTCAACCCGATTCAAGCCAGTGAAAGTGATGGTGGCGATAGAGAGAGAAGTGACGAGCAAAGAAGGGCCCATAACTAGTTAGCCTAGACATGTCTTCCTCCATCAAATCCATTTTCATGGGCTTGTAAGCCCAATGGGGTTCCCCCAATAACAGCAGGCCCTTTCCCCTCTCCAGTCTCCACCTTAACCGAGCCCGAGCAGAGAGCGGAAAAAAGAAAATTAAAAATATAAATAATCCTTGATCTGTTCCCCCTAGGGATGGCAATGGGTCGGGTTGGGGGCGGATAGTGCATATCCGTTACCCTACCCAAAGTACTTCGGGTTTTACCCATACCCATACTCACATGTGAAACGGGTAGAAAATCAAAACCATGCCCATACCCATTCGGGTTTCGGGTATCCACGGTTATCCATGGATATTAATTTCTCTTCATAACTCCAACCAATATGTTAACATTCACACGTATTCTTATATTAAGTAAGAGAAAAAGTACGACAAGAATTCACTAGACTGAAGAAAATTAACTAAAACAACACAATTTCATGAAAATGTTATATTTATATGCTAAATATAAAATATGTTAGAGAAAAATAATGATTATTTCTAGACAAAATACATATGCATGTGTATAATCGGGCGGGTTCGGGTCGGATAGTGAGAAATCCATGCCCACCCATTACCCGCAATATTCGGGTTCGGGTTTTACCCGTACCCACTAAATGTCCTTCGGGTTCGGGTTTTACCCTACCCGACTAGGCCGGATTCGGGCGGATATCCACGGTTACGGATATTTTTGCCATCCCTGGTTCCCCCAATCTCTCATTCCAACCAGACTCAAGGTTGCTCTCAAAATCTGAAATCGCCCTAAAACACAAAAAATCCCTGACCCTTCGTTACCGCCATCGCCACCTCAACCACCGTCGGCTTCGCTCTCCAAGGTTAGTTCCGTCCACCACCTCCTCCTCCTCGTCCTCCTCCGCCACTGCGAGATCGGCTCTGTTGAACGGATCGGAGGTCGACTGAGATGCGTTTTTTCCCCCCTGCGATTGTTTCTCAGAATTAATTTGTGTATCCGTTTACTGGCAGGTCGGTCGGAGAAGTTTTGATTGTGTTGCGCGCCATCATCATGTCGAATTTTGGAGGGCTGGAGAACACTGCTAATCCAGGTTACGTACGTTCCCCCCCTTTTGTGGATTTTTTCTATTTCACCGATTTGAACATTCCGCCTTAATTTCGCAATTCCTTGCATCAAAAAAATTCCGTGTTGGTTTCTTCTATAGTCGCCGGAGAATCTAGCTAGGTCGTGTTTGTTAGCTTGATGCTCTCCCCTCCTCCTGCTCCTGTTATTTCACTGTCTCCTTCCATTGTTATGAGTTTTCCGGTATTCTTATATTCTAAACTAATTGATCTCAAACTTGGATTAATGCAGAGTGGGACGGGAGGACAAGGGAGGAAGAAATCGCTTGGAGGAAGGAGATGCTGGCAAAGGGAGATTTAGCTTGGTTAAAAGAGATGCTGGCTAAATTGGTCAAGTGGCAGGCGCAAGAGAAGAAAGAGCTGGAAGAGGCACCCCTAGGATTATGGGATCCCAGAGATGATCTTGAGCATAATTAAGAAGATAAACTATAATCTAATGAACAAGATATGATCATAAACAGAGTAGATAGATACACATTGCTTTGTGAGTGATTGTGACCTAAGTATATCTAATCTAACTTTGGGTTCATGGGTTTGATCTTTTTCCCTTATGTGTGCAATTTGACCAATCCATAAAGAATTTCCTTTCTCATAAAAAAAAAAAAAAAACAATAGCCGATTTTGAATTCCTTAATCTCTTAAATCATAATTGCAAATAAAATAACTCTCACTGCATAATTAAGAAGGTAAACTATGCCGGGAATGAACAAACCCTAATTTTTTATGTTCGGTTTCTAACAAAGTATAATCTAATGAACAAGACATGATCATAGACAGAGTAGATAGATAGGCATTGCTTTTGTGACCTCAAGTATATCTAATCTTAACTTTGGGTTCATGGTTTTGATGTTTTTCCCTTATGTGTGCAATTTGACCAATCCATTTCGCCCATTTTTTTGCAGATTCTTATATTCTCAATATGGCATGGCTGAAATTTTTGGGGCCATAGGATAATGGTATCGTTGAGAAAAAAGATGTAAACTAAGTAAGAGGTCCCATCACTTTTGCTTTTCAATAATCACAAAGGATAATAATATCTATTTGTTGTGTTTGAAACTCCAATCCATGCTAATAATTGGTATTGGCAAACCAAAGGTGTATGTGAGAACTTATTCATAATATCATCGCATTCATAGAATTGCGGATGATTATAGAACGTCCGCCTTCGATTTGAGGGAGCTAAAATTTTGTGGGCCACAGTTGCTACTCGATCTTTCTTGCTTGTTTTGCTTTTTGTCGGATGAAACGTTTAGGCGAACCAATGTGACTTAATTGTCAATAATTAAGTTAAAATATGGGAAATATGATCTATCGACTATAGGTTAAAAACTATATATATACCACAATCCAGGAATATTTTTCTTCTTCTTTATGTTGTTGTAAACTTATAATTAAATAAGAAGTATTTGCATAATTTCAACATTTAAGGACAGCGGAACCAACAGATCCACCACACACACATGCACTCTCATTCTTTCTCGACATTTCACCTCCTTTAATTCAATGTTGAATATTATTTTTAAATTTTATTTTATAAAAAGGAATTAGAAACCTTGTACCCACCAACAACAACATCAAAAGCTACCCCATACAATTCACAAATAATAATAATAATAATAATAATAATAATAATAATAATACTAAATTGGTGAGATGAGATGGCTAGATCTACATATGATTAAGCTCCAACATATTGGTGGGTGTGACAACATTGAATTTTGGGTTTCCCCAAGCAAGCATATAAATAATTGAATGTGGAGGGTGTCTTTATTGATTCGATGTCCTACAGTTTTTGTGACCTAGTAACCAGCTTTGACAGCCCACTCCCAACCCTTCCCCAATATCAAATGGATCGGATTAACTTTAGAATATGTACGAGCGAGCGGGCTTTTGATGATGAAGAGATACGATTACTGAGTTTGTTAAATCTTTCTGTGGTGAGGTTTCATGGAGAAGGAGGATGATCCATTGTGTGTGCAGACTGAGGTGGCAGGAAATGTATCATGGTCTTGCCTTTAGCTTGAGGTTTGAGATTCGGGAAGATTGTCCTTCAAATTGAGTAATTTTGAATTGGATGTTCGACCAGCTAATCCAAATAGCTGACGATGTCATGTGATATCAGAGATCTCATGTCACTGGTTCTGGTCACCGTGGACATATCTTCACATGATCACCACCCAACACCCCCCATATTATTTACACCATACCGAAAATCAACAACACTTATTAAGGTTACAATGACGAATATGATTAATTGAATCACAACTTACCACGATAATAACATGTTGGTGTGAGTTACATGTCCATTCTAGCTGGGTTTGGTAGTCTAGATTTGTTACTTTCTATACGATTCTTTATAGGAGTGAGACAAGATAACTTAATAGAATATAGCAAGTCCCATTGAAATGTTGTTGTCAACATTTTAATTTGGTTTGTTGTTGTTGTTGTTGTTATTGGTGATGGAGGGTGTGGTATGTGGTGATGAGCCAAATGTTTGGTTTGTCTATTACTCCACCAATATCTACATCACACTCTCCATGGAAGGACAAAATCTCAATTTGCATGTCCCCATACCAAAACCCACCAACCATTAAGTACTATTTTTTATAAATAATAATAATTATTAGAAATCAAGATCAAGGGTTGTAAAAATTACAGAAAGTGATGGGAAATTTTGAAGAAAATGGAGATTTGGACAATTTATCTACAAAGGAGAGCCATGCAAGGCCATTGACACCACATATAAACAGTCATGTCTCAACCATAAACTATCTATTTGTTTGTTTTATTTTATTCTAGAGATACTTGTATTGCCAAAGATCGAGATTCAAGCACACACTATTTGGTTGTACATGATAAGTCGTACCCTACTGTTCTCACGATCAACAGATTAAAATCAAAAGACGCAACATTGACGTCTGCAACTGCAACAACCCGACTTCCTCTAATATGTAGCATCACCGCAGACACCAACACACACGTTATCAAGGACTTGCTTAAAATATTCAGCACCTGTGTCAACCCAAGCGAACCATATCAAATCGAACAGCATCACGAGACATTCTCACAAAAGATAAACTATCTATTTGTTACTCCCAAAAAATATAATAAATGCCAACAAATAATTTGCAAAATAAATGAATATCTAAGTATCCAACGAAGGGGTGGATGGTAGAAGAAGTGGTCGTGAGTGAGATGCTTCCATTTGAACATTATCTTCAAGTGATTCCTATTTCTCGAGGGAATTTCTTCTTTCCCTTTCTATCTTTTGGGTTTTTAAAGAATGATTCCTTGATGCCCTTTTTTCTGGTGCCTTTCCTCGAATTAAATTCTCTCTTTTTTCGAAAATGGGAATTATTAAAAATGAAGAAAATGTATATATCTATATATAGTGATTTTTTATCATACACCAAACAAAAACTGGTATATGTCGTACACCAGATAATCTCCACCCTACACGTCCATCTTAACAGTCAGCATAAATGAGGTAATTTATTTTATAATCCCACAAAAAATAGAACCTGCAATTGTGCTGACCGTTAAAATGGACGTGTACGGTGAAAATTTTCTGGTATACGACATACACTAGTTTTTTTTTTCTTGATATACGTTAAAACATTTTATATATTTATAATATTGAGAATTAATTATTCCCTTTAATGTGGGGAAATTATATGCCTACTTGTGGGAAGTGTGGCTGAGTTGCTGCATGAGTGCCACCTATGACATACCATCCTTTGTTCTCTGGAGAATCGTTCTGTAATTTTTCTTCCAATAATTTTGTATACAATTTATCATTTATTATTCATTTCGACAATTCAAGCAATTGGGATGTAGAGATTATTCGAGTATGACATCTCGCTATTATAGTATTTTTTTGATTGCATGATTAGCGAGTCTAATAAGAGTATTAGCAACCTTTGCGCTATTCCTAAAACTATGGCCTGGAATCAGTTTAGCAACCACGCAAAGCTCGTGGTCTTCTGATGTAATCACCAAACCATATTTGATAATTAATAATTAATTAAATCGTTGACAGATAGACCAACCAAAATAGAAACATGGAAATGGAAAGCAGCTCTTAGCTTATGATTTGATCAGATAATATTCCACGAGAAACCGTGGTGAAAAAAATAAGAGGAATGAAAAAAGACCTGCGTATGGTTTACGTTCTCGGCGAGAATTTGGCTTGAAATTTCAATCACCACGAAAACAACCCCTCGAAAGAAGTCTAATTATATAGTTCATTATGTTATAAAACTAGTGGAAATGTAAGCAACTATAAGAGAAGATTGGAGGAGGAAAGACACAAGAGAAGTGAGGGGAATAATTCTTCTTATTCATATCCCATTTGTGATACAATAGTGTGCTCTATTTATAGGCACCCTTTGGTAACCATTACATCAATGCATATGAATTAGAGATAATAATATAGGAATGGGAGTTACATGTAACTCCCAAGTGAGCATCTAATGTGGTAGGTCATTGGTCATCCAAATATAAATATTTACATAATACTCCCCCTTGGATGACCACTAGATTGCATTATTACGCTATCTCATGCTGCCTCATTAAAAACCTTACCAGGAAAACCCAGTGGGAAAAACCATAGTTAAGGGAAAAAGAGTGCAGCGCGTATATGCTCCCCCTCATGACCACATCAGCTCAGATCTTTGAGTCGTCGAACTCCAATTTCACGAACAAGCTTTACAAAGATTGTCGTTGGGAGTGACTTGGTGAATAAATCTGCTAGATTCTCACTTGAACGAACTTTTTGAACAATTATTTCACCACTCTTTTGAAGATCATGAGTGAAAAAGAACTTGGGTGGAATATGTTTTGTTCTATCTCCTTTAATATATCCTTCCTTTAATTGAGCAATGCATGCTGCATTATCTTCATACATGATCGTCGGGATCATTTTTCCTAGAGATAGTCCACACGATTCTCTAATGTGTCGAATTATAGATCTTAACCAAACACATTCACGACTTGCCTCGTGAATTGCTAGGATTTCAGCATGATTGGATGATGTGGCTGTTATAGTTTGTTTTGTGGATCGCCACGAAATGGCTGTACCACCACAAGTGAACAAATATCCTGTCTGAGATCTACCATTGTGAGGATCTGAAAGATATCCTGCATCTGCATATCCCACTAAATCCATCTTCGATGCACTCGAATAGAACAAGCCCATATCTGTCGTTCCTCGAAGGTAACGGAGTAAATGTTTAACTCCATTCCAATGTCTTTTAGTGGGAGAAGAGCTATATCTTGCCAATATATTCACAGCAAACGATATATCGGGTCGTGTATGACTGGCTAGATACATTAATGCTCCTATCGCACTAAGATATGGCACTTCAGGGCCAAGCAGATCTTCATCACTTTCTCGAGGTCTAAATGGATCTCTTTTCACATCAAGTGATCTTACAACCATTGGATTACTCAACGGGTGTGATTTGTCCATATAAAAT